TAACATCCCTTGTCCTCCAGCCTACCTTGCCTTCTTAAATGCATACACAACATATGATCACATGATCTCAGTTAAAGTGAAGGATGAAATTCTAGGCAGAGCTACTGGTTTTGTGATTAGCTGCCATGTGACCTAAGAACATTGTTTCCGCAAAGACATGCATTGCAAGGCTACTTTTAACTTCTCAGAATTTAGAGACACCCACCAGATCGTTGAGTACCAGTGCTATGATAGCAGGAGTGGTAAAGGTGTTGCTAAACTGTCCGCATGCAGTATGACTACAGTTTTAAGAGTAAGGTAGAAAATTTATGTGAGATGTATAATTGAGATGCTGAGATTATAATTATTGCCTGGATTTTCGCTTTAAAAGTATATACATTGCCAAAACGTGTTTGTTTTTGAATAGAGTAGGAAAGGATTTATTTATCTATCACAGGTATTTATATAGCGCCGACAATTTACACAGTACTTTACATACTGCACATTCACATCAGTCCCTGCCCCCAAGGAGCTTACAATCTAAGCTCCCTATCTCACATACATACAAGGGCCAATTTAGACAGGAGCCAATTAACCTTCCAGCATGTCTTTGGAGTGTGGGAGGAAACCCACGTAAGCACAGAGAGAACATGCAAACTCCTTGCAGATAGTGTCCTGGACGGAATTCATACCAGGGAGCCCCAGTGCTGCAAGGCAGAAGCGCTAACCACTACGCCACAGTGACACTGTGTGTCGAGATTTTATTCTCTACTCCCACAGGGAGATTCGTTTTTGTATTTGTCCTGCTGACCAGTGTCACTGAGACAGAAAGTGATGGGAAATCCAAAATTTTAGTGAGGGTTAATATTCTGATGGAGACACCTGTTCCAGTGACAACTGTGTAAGAAGGGAAATCCCCTCACTTTGTACAGATTTTCTCTCACTTCTTGTCGTGTGTCTGGGACAGTGGAGGCTATAGATACACTTTAAGTGCCTATAGCCCTTCCATAATATCAGTATTTGAAGATCTACAGGTGAAATTGAATGTACAAAACTTCTGTTCCATTAAAATATGAGATGTACTACCCCTGCAAGCCTGATATGAAATGTGCTGTGTATTAAATTATACCTTACAGCAGAGATTTAAAGTGGAATAAAGTGTTCACTGATCTCTATAATCTGCATGTAATAGACAGGAAAGAAAAAAGGCATCTACAAGGCTTATTTTCGTATATTGTAGATTGCTGATGTCCCATAAGAAAAGAATAATGCTCGCTCCATTGCTTAAGATTCTGCTGAGAGCCCTGAACTGCTGTGATTGACACATATGCTTAATGCTGAAAAGATACGCCCCAGGGATAGGAAACTGCTCGCTTGCTGACTAGAGGATGTAGTTTTTGCAGATGGTTGGCTGTACTGCACATTCCTGTGCTAATGACTGCCGGGAAGCAATCACTGGGATCTATATGGTGTAGTGTTTACTTGCCATTACAAATGAGTTGAAGTTATACTTGCTTGGTAATAATTCAGTCTTTAGTAGGCTCAGTTACACACTTGCTATACATCTGTACATTGTCTGTACAAAGACAAGTCACTGCTCTTCTTCCAGCCTGTGAGCTGCAGGTTTGGGTTTGAAAAAGCACTCCTGATGAAAAGTACGGTACACAGTTAAATACATGTAGGTGGATGGTTTACCTGTAGAAAGATCTTTAGTTCCGTTCAACCAGTCTTGTGATCCAGGCACCCCTACCTGACAATACAGCTACTTCCTAGACCTGTACACTGTAGACTACATAGCAGTTGAGCTATGCATTCTGGTTCAGTATCGAGGCCAATCTGCGATTGGAAAGTGATGAGTCTGCAGCACTCTGATTAGATTATCCATGTGCTCGCCACAACTGTATGCATGATTCCTGGCAGCACTGCAATACAACCCAGCCTGACTGGCTCAGAGTGTTAGCCATTGCTCTCCCAGTGTGTTCTTATGTGAAATCAGGCTGGCAATGGGAATGCTTGCACTGTAAGCCGATGGATGGGTGCGACAGGAGCCTAGGTAGGAAGGAGAAAACTAAGGGTAGGATCAGCTTTAAAGGAGAACTATGAGGCGAGTGCTTTTCACTCACCTCATAGTTCTAGCCGACCTGTGACAATGAGACTGTCACAGGTCGGCTCAGTAGATCGGGAGGTGAGCCAACACATACCGGGTTCACTCACCTCTCGATCCTGTCACGGTTCTCTGCTGTGACAGGGGGAGGGGCTGGATTCCCCGCTCCGATCTGCCAGCGCTGACTGGCGGAACGGACGGGGGAGGGGGCGGGTACAGCTGGCTCTGCCTCTAGATAGGCAGAGCCACCTGTCACTCACGCAGCTGGGCGGATCCCGTCGTCTAAGCTGTAGCTCGCGGTATACTGAGCCTAGGGTAACGGGAGGACGCTAGTTTGTGTCCTCCCGTTACCCTAAGGAGAACTATGGGGGAAAACACTGACCCCATAGTTCTCCTTTAAGGGGATGTTTGCTGGTAGTCCAAAGAGCAGACAGGAGGTGGGCCAGTGGAAGAGTCTGCAGAATTAAGTGGATCATAAGATGATTAGTTTACAGATCATTTGCCAGGTGAAAAAGTTTCTAACAACATTTAACTAGCTGTTCAGCTGGATTGACTTTTAAAGAGAATCTAGTGAGGCTAACCAATGCTTTTAAAAAAGGTAGATACCATAAGGTATGAGAGTATGACACTTGTTTAACCAGCCATCCCTTATGACTGCCTTGGTTGCCTACTCTGATTCTGACATTATAAAAGTTGGCTCCCAAGTGGCTGGGGCTGTTGATAGGTTGCTCAGGCACTAAGTACCACATTGTGGAATGTCTGTGAACGCATGTTTGTGCTTTGACATTTAGGAAATTATTTATATGCACATTTGGGAGGGGGGGGGG